GATCAATAAGATAGATAATAGGTAAACTGGGCTATTAAAATAAAGTACTTCTGTTTAAAGATATCATTAAGAGAGCGAAAGGTAAACTACAGAGGGGGAAAAGATGTTTGCATGGCATGTATCCTAGGAAGGATTTGTATGTAGAAATATATAAAGAACTCCAACAAATCAGTAAGAAAAAGATAGCAACCCAATTAACAATTAGGCAAAAGATTTGAACAGCTACTTTACAAAAGAGGATATCTGAACGGCCAATAAGCATACAAGGAGGGGATCAACAGCATTGCTCATCAGGAAATGACAACTGAAACCACAAAGAAATGCTTGTACACTCTTGGGGACAATGTGAGGGTTGGCAGGGATGTGGAGCCACCACAACTCTGTACAAAACTAATTGCTGACGGAAATGCGAACTGGTACGACCACAGTTTCCACTCAAGCTCTGGGTGTATGTACCCTCTGACTAATTCCACTCCTAGACCCAACTGAAATACACATACATGCACATTCACCGAAACACACATACGAGAACAGTCATAGCAGCACGACTTATAACAGCCCCAAAGTGGCAATGGCCCAAATGCTATCAGTAGCAAAGCAGATAAGTAAGCTGTAAAACCTAAACATCGATGCAGGCGAATGAGCTCCTGGTATGCCAACAACACAGCAGAGTCTCACAAAGCAATGACACGTGAAAGAAACCAGACACAAAAGAGGACACGTCAAATTACATTCAGAATCAGGCAGAACTGATCCATGGTGTGAGAAGTCAGAGCAGGGGTTACCTCTGGGGAGGAGGTGGGCAAAGTACCTGGAAGAGGACACCGGTGGGGGGTGGCTTCTGGGGCACTGGTAATGTTCTCGTCCTTGACCCCCGTCCTAGTGTAACATGAGTGGACTGATAAGTAGTGACCATACACTGACCTGCACCTTATGATGTGTGCATTTATTTGTCTCTACACATTTATCAAAGTTTAGGTTAAAAAAATATATCATGGCCCTGATTCAGCACTACAGGAAAGGTGACAATGGCACTCCATGAAGTGAGTTGTCACAGACTTTAACATGTCCAAAAGATTATTTCCTTTACCCTGGACCATAATCCCAAAAGGGCCAAAGCAAAATATCAAGATGTGGGAATGAGAAGCATTTTCCTCTTGATCCTAACAAGAAAAACAACAGCACAGCACAAGAACAAATGGCGACCAACACCTATCACAAGTGTGAAGGGCAAGAGCAACAGGTGGAGGCTGCGGTGAATTGGAACACGGTGGCCCCATCTACAGAGGGCAGTGGTATCCGCCCCCCCCAGCCAGTCACCAGTGCAAATGTGGGCCCAGAGTCACAGACTACGCAGTTTAAGCTAGCAATCCATATTTCAACAGGAAATCTCACAATTTTTAAAAGTTGTGAGAAAAGTAAAAAATTTTAAGCACACTGCAGAAGGGCACCAGTTTCCAAACTCAGTCCTCCATGCACCCTGACCCCCGAGGACCAAATGCAGGGATGCCACTGGCGGACACGCAGCAGTACTGCTGTATTGTGATTTCCAACCACAGCTTTGTGTTCAGGCATTACTGTGAAGTTCAGCTTTTCTCTCTTCAAAAGGCAGTGCTCTTCAAATGTAAACAGAGCTAGTGCAACAGCCTTGTGAATTAATTCACCATTATTTATTCTCGCCCCTCACTTTCAATTTCATTAACTGAGGTGGAGTGGGCCACAGAGGAGCACTAACAGGCACCGGCCTGCTGCCAGAGGTCGGGGAGGGCGGGCAGGAGCTGGAAGTCAGTCTGACCCCGGTTAGAATCCTCAGCTCTGCTTTTACCAGCTGTGGGAACTTGGGCAACTTACTCACTTATATGAGCCTCAGTTTCATCATTTGAAAAGTAAACACGCCATTGCTTACGTGGAAGGTTGTTGCCATGCTATCATCCAACACCAGCCCCCCGCAGCTCTGCACGAGGGCCCGGGTCTTGCAGGCACTTTCTCCTGCAGCCACCACCACCAACATGAGAGGCAGGCTCTGTTATTATCTTTATTTCACACGTGAGGAAACAGAAGCTCAGAGAGGGGATGTCACAGAGAGCTCGTGTGTGACAAGTCACGGAGTGGAGATTTCAACCCTGTCGCCTGACTCTGGGGCCAGTGTTCTTAAACGCTGTGCCACATGAAGTGCCCAGCTCCGCAGCCAGCAGGGCCGAGGGGGCAAGTCATACTCACTTCCATCCAATCCTTCTCTTTGGATTTCATTTTCTCCACTCTGTCTGAAAGCATCATTCCAATGCCTGTAAGAACAGCCACTGATTTGATCTTTCCCAACTCGTAGCAGTCGAAAAGCCACCTGCCCTCCTTCCTTATGAGGGATTTAATCAAACATCCCGTAGAAGGAAAGAGGTTTAATCAGCCAAGCATGACCCAGCAGCCAGGGGATGGTTAAGTAACACTGCCGACCACGACAGCAAGGAAGCCCCGGGCGGCCACTCCAGGGCTATGCTAGTCTGGTCTTTTCCCGGCTTCTCGTGGGCAGGAGGCTGCCCAGCACATGCTGGTCAGCAGAAAACAGCAGAGACTGTGCCCGTTCATCCGTCTCCTCACAAAACAGGTACAGAAGTCATGCTAAGACACAGAGATGCGGCAAGAACTAGAATGCTGGAGATGCCTCGCGAACATGTTGGTGCTTCTCTGATTATGGAGGCCAACCAAGTAACAAGAAGACACGAATTCTAGTCTGGATGGGAACAGAAAGAGCCAGTCCTCATGGACAAAGGGTCAGTGGGTTTCGCAGGGACGAGATGCAGAAGAGGTTCAAAGTTAAAAGGGTGTTGGGAAGAGGACAGTAACGAGTTAAACATTTATTAGGTGTTCTAACTAAAGCAGCCACTTCAAATGAGGTTCTCACTGAATCCTCCTGACAACCCCCCAAGACAGGCGAGACTCTCCCCCTTTGCAAGTGCAAAAAATCTCAGGCTCAGGGGGAACTTTCCCAAGGTCATACGAGACTTAGTCTTGCAGTCTGACTTCAAAGCCAGGGTTGCCTCTGCCTCGCCCAGCAGCTGCCCTCGGCCCAGTGGACGCAGACCGAGGCCGCATGGCTGAGTCTGCACCAGTCCGTCTAAGGTTACTCCCCCGAGACAGATAAGATGGAAACGAGAAGAAATATGAGGACCCAGGAAGCCTCGGGGCTCTCTGGGAAAACCTATGCCCTTGAAAGGCCCATCAACCAGCCCACGACACTCACTAAGCCACCCCCATCAGGGGCTCAGGGCAGCACCCCAGAGACAGGAAGCCACGGAGACGGTAGAGGCTGACATCTGAGGAGACCAAGACAGTGATTTCCACTGAAGCCCTTGATGCTGGCTTTTCTCTTAACTGGCTCCTTCTTTCCCGGGCTTTTAAAGGAGGAAGGAGCATGGGAACTGGGAAGAAAACTCAACAGTGACAGGAATCCCTCTGGAAGCTGTTCCTTGGCCCCACCAGCAACCACACTTGTTACTGAAAATGAGTAATTGGCGAGATGAACGACAAGAGTCAAAGATCTGTTGAAGTCATCACATATTCTATACAAGTATCAAAATATCACAAGCACCCCACAAATTTGCACCAATATTATGTATCAATAAAAAAATTTAATTTTTTAAAAAAGGCCACGCACAGTGGCTCATGCCTATAATCCCAGCACTTTGGGAAGCCAACGAGGGAGGATTGCTTGAGGCCAGGAGTTCCACACCAACCTGGGCCACATAGCAAGGCCCCATCTCTACAAAAAATAAAATTAGTTGGGCATGGTGGCATGTGCCTGTAGTCCTAGCTACTCAAGAGGCCAAGGTGAGAGGATCCCTTGAGCCCGGGAGCCTGAGGTTGTAGTGAGCTATGATGACGTCACTGCAGTCCAGAAGGAAGGTACAGCAACATGAGGAAGAGGGAAACGCTAAGGATTCAGTTAGCAGAGAATTTCCAGACACCTCCACCAAACACAATCAGGTCTGACTTTTTGCTATGAAAGAAGAACTAGCAAAAGGTGGCACATTTTACTCAGCAATGACACTGACATCATCACAGTGACAAGAAAGATTCAGGGATGTGGGGTGGCAGCCACAAGCAGGGTTGGAAAGAACCACCCTTTGAAAGGGAGGGGAGGGAGGGGGCCACAGGACATTTTTCACACGACATGATACACTTCAAGGTTCAGATCCGAAGCAAATCACTTTGACTAGTTTCCTCATCCGTACAGTGGCGATAACAACCGTCCCTGCTACTCACAGGGCCGTCGTGAGAACTGAATGAGTTAACTTACATCAAAGACTAACCAAGTGCCAGGCTTGCACTAAGTACTTAGTGTTAACTGCTATTATTACTAATTAGCATCATCCCTGTCGTTCACTCAGGAACTGTTTTTACAGCATTAAATGGATGACAGCAGAACTCTAAGCTCAGAGACGTCTGGGATTTCTGTTGCTGTTGTTGAAGACGTTTAATTACGAAACGCCATGTTATCCTTCTGCACAAAATTAAACCAGATAACTAATTTCCCAGGAATTGCCAAACCATATTGGTGAAATAAGCACTTGGCTGCAGGACCCCGAACCCAGAGGAGACTGTACCACGTGGCTCTGAGAATTCTGCACAAGAGATGACTTCATTTAACTTAAGATGCCAGACAACACCCCTTTTTTTTTTACTTTTTCTTTTTGAGACAGAGCCTCACTCTCTTGCCTGGGCTAGAGTGCCGTGGTGTCAGCGTAGCTCACAGCAACCTCAAACTCCTGGGCTCAAGCGATCCTCCCGCCTTGGCCTCCCAGAGTGCTAGGATTACAGGTGTGAGCCACTGCACCTGGCCAACACCCTTATTTTTTTGGCTACAAATAAGACATGGGTTTCTGCACACCCACCCTAGTCCCACAGAATGACTGCCTTGCCCACTATTTAAAAATAAATAGAAGTAAAAAGAGAGGGCAAAAGAGAAGACAAGCTCCTCCAACCACAGCCAGGCAGCGCAGTACCTGTTTCAGTTTTGCTGGGGAAGCCTGCCGCCTGTTTGATCGCTGCCGCGGTGAGCGCTAACCCTCGACTCCTCTTCAAGCCATGCTGCAGGACAGCTTCGAACTGGGCACACAGACAGGTTACCCTGCAAGAGAAACAATGACTCGTCAATCCACCTGGGGAAGGGAGTAGCAACCAGGGCAGCTCTAGCATCTCCAGGGAGTGAGCGAGCCGTCAGAGGTAAACCACAGCGTGAAGGTGGACGCGAGACATCTGGATTTACGGACTTGGTACCTGACCTGCGACGCTCCACAGGCCTCGCTGCATTTCTGTTCATTTCACATAATCAGGGATGCCCCGCACAGTCTCGTCCTATTCATCCAGCCGGTGAAGGCATGGTAACAATTCACAAGGAACAAGAGGAAAGGGAACTGGTGCCAGCCAGAGGAGCAGGGGTGACAATTTAAAAACCAATCAGTTCGGTGTGGGGAACGGTTGGGTGTTGATTATATTCAACTCACAAGTTTTTCTTTTTTTTTTGAGACAGAGTCTCACTCTGTCGCCCTGGCTAGAGTGCAGTGGCGTCAGCCTAGCTCACAGCAACCTCAAACTCCTGGGCTCAAGCAATCCTTCTGCCTCAGCCTCCCGAGTAGCTGGGATTACAGGCTGTGCCACCACACCCTCAGTTAATTTTTTCTATTTTTTAACAGAGATAAAGGTCTGAAAAAGGGTAAAATGTATAATGTCTCTTTAAAACCCCTCATCCTTTTTGGGAATTAAAACCTGCATTCCTGGCAGGGCGGGGTGGCTCACGCCTATAATCCTAGCTCTCTGGGAGGCCGAGGCGGGCGGATTGTTTGAGCTCAGGAGTTTGAGACCAGCCTGATCAAGAGCGAGACCCCATCTCTACTAAAAATAGAAATAAATTAATTGGACAACTAAAAATATATAGAGAGATTAGCCGGGCATGGTGGCGCATGCCTGTAGTCCCAGCTACTCGGGAGGCTGAGGCAGGAGGATCGCTTGAGCCCAGGAGTTTGAGGTTGCTGTGAGCTAGGATGACACCACTGCACTCTAGCCTGGGCAAAAGAGTGAGACTCTGCCTGCGGGGGCGCGGGGGGCGGGGGGAACCTGCATTCCTGCCGAAGGCCATTAATCAAAGGGCAGAAAGATGTTTTGTTCTGTGTTTTCGAGTATCTTGTTTTTTTTTTGTCACCCCCTTCCCCTCCCTCTGTTTTCTAGTATCTTAAACCACAGGAGATGGCTCAAAAGAATTGTCCAGAGGTCAGGAGATCATCTTCACTGGAGACAAAGTCTACCACCAACTACAGTTAAACAATAGCCCAAAGCCATGACATGTGACACTAGTCACAAAAACCCATTCCCAACCTCTGAAAACCCCCCTTATAAAGCCCTGTATTTTGGCTTAAAGGCAGAAAGGTAGTTTTTTTCAGATGCTAGTCTGCCACCCTCCTCATTTGCGAGCAAATTAATAAACTTCTCTTTCCTCTTCCTCCAACCACGTGTCCTTGTTCTTCATTCTCACTGATTTGGCCTCGTCTCGGGGATAAGTACCAAACTTTCAGTAACATCTTTAGCAGAGATGAGGTCTCACTCTTGCTCAGGTTGGTCTTGAACTCCCAAGCTCAAGCAATTCTCCCACCTCAGCCTCCTAGAGTTGCTAGGATAACAAGTGTGAGCCACCATGCCTGGCCTCCAATTCACAAATTTTAACTCTAATTCATATTACATAGAGTTTAAGGAACAACATTATATTTTCAGAGACTGAATTCACCAGCCTGCTAAATTGGAAACATTGGAAAATTTCATGGCCTGTCACACACAGTCAAAAAATTATATGAATTCTGATTCTTGTTCTTTATTTTGTTATAAGAGATTACATTGTGAACTCAGATCCAGAGTTGATGGAATTTTCAATTAAGTCACAATTACTGTGCATTTAATTGAAATGTTTCTCAATAACCAAAGAAATGGGAGTTTCAGGAACATGTCTACAAAGAGATGAGGTCACAGCAACTCTGCCCAATACTTAGCAAACCAGGACTCCTGGGCCCCTGCCCAATTGGGTCTGTGGACTTCAGAGTTCTTTCCATTCATTCATGCAACAAATGTTAAGAAATCCTGAACATCTCCCACGTGCCAGGCACTGTTCTAAGCTCTGAGGATACAAAGGTGGGAG